TCTCACTTAAAAGCTTAAAATGTTGAAAGAAAATTACATGTACTCTTTTAAACCTGTCTTTCACGAGAGAATCAATAACAAAGGGAAACTTCATCCCATATGGACAGCACATCGTATTGTTTGTTGTAAGGAACAAAGCAACAAAATTAAGACTATTCTTTTTCCTTTAAAAGCAATTGAGAAAACTACAGGGGGATTTTTCCCTCTGAGAATCTGTGTGTAAAAGTACAAATATAATGTAAAAAAACATTGGACTCGCCAATAATTAAGGACCCCTTCAAAGCAATTTGCCAGGATTTGATCAGACACGACCACTGTAGTTCATAAAGTTAAATAGATTAGACCTCCGATTTCGATTTCGATGAGAAGTTTGGTTTTTAGTGAATTTATCATTTTGAATTGAAAATTTGTTTCTGTTTGATTCAACAGAATGAATGAACTTGATTAACATGCCAGAGAGGGCTCCTTAGCGTTCAAAGTTTAGGTTTTTAAAATCAGATTTTCTTGTCCACATGCCTGAAAGGGTTCCTTAGCGTTCAAAGTTTAAGGTTTTTAAAAATCAGAGTTTAGGAATCATCTCGAATCCAAAATTAGCTAAAATTTCACAAATAACATATTGACACGTCCATAAGAATGAAAAAAATTAATAAAACCTATACGTTTCGTGTTCTTCATTTCTTAGGTCTTTGCTGACGGCAACCCTAGTCTTACAATTGCGTGCTTCTTAACTACAAATGATATTCATTTAAATCTATTGAGCATTATTTCTTAGTAACACCTCTGCTAATTGACCCTGAGCAAGCCCGTCCCTCGAAAGAAAACAGAGTTTGAAATAGTCTTAGCTAGGCCGGTTCACCCCAAAAAAACCAAGAACCGGTCTGGTTAAAGCATGAAAACTGGGAAGAAACCTGGTTACTCTCAAAAAGCTCTAACGTGACACAGTAACAAGAGGGCCCTACTGGTACAAATGGATGAGTGAGTTCATAACACTTCACACACACCCAGAAAAGGAAATGTTTAAATCTTAAGAATCCCTAAAAACAGTATTCCAGAACCCTAACAATAATGAAAGGGACAAGTGTGAAGAAGGATAATTGACATGAATTTAAGTGTAAAAAAAACAGGTGATTGGTAGAGCAATCACTTTAACTACAAGAAGAAAAGCTACAAAGAGACATTTTACCAAGCACAAAACTTGACATGCATGTTTAGTCTGCTAGGGAATGTAAAATATTTATTAAATTGTGACCTTAACTTCACCCAAACTTCACCCTTGTCTAAGCAAACTAGCAGTTTTTTTTCTCTTATTTCCCTCCATCCTTTCACCTACCATGAGCCACACTCTATTCTCCAAATGAGGTGGCTGCAGTCCCTGTTCTCTCCACTGAAGAAGCTCTGGATTCGTCTGCACTCGGCTCGAAAAAAGAGTATGTCATCATTTCCTTTAATTGTTTACATTCACTGATTGAATAATGCTTTCTACTTCGAATTTCAGACTAATATACTTCAATATTTCCACAACCTCAGATAACATCATTAGCTTTCCATTTTTCTTCTCATTATATCCTGCTTGTGCATTACAGAGAACTGCCGAGTGCGTGTAATCACAGACAAACATGCAAGAGAATTCAAATTTTTCAAACTTTTTAGTGCCTAAACTACACGTTCAAAATAGTATATATCCTCTGTTACCTCTTATATAATCATGATTAAACTTGTAGCATGATAATATAAACTTGCATTCTGTACCTCTATGTATCTATTGATGTTCTGATTTGCATTTATGGATATACCCATACTTTGTTTTCATTGGCATTTCTAGACTTTCTTGAGAGAGCATTTACAAATCAAACTCACTGCAATTTCCTATATTGGTTTTTCAGGTAGAGGGATATACATCCTATATGAAGATATCAAGAACTGTCCCTATGAAGATGTGCATGTTCTTTGGTCCATACTAGTGGAATCACATCCACCAGCTTTGCCACCACCAAAATGATGTACTCACATACTGTATGAAGCAGGGAGATTACATACGTACCTAATAAAATTTTTACTCATTTAGGTTTTCGCTTTTCTTTCCACTTTCTAGTTTTCATTCTCTTTTGAGTGTGCTCTGTGCAGATTATCTTAATAAATTATTGAAATTATTCACTTATTCTGGATATACTGGCCCTTCGAATAATTCCAAATAGAAAAAAGATGATATTATCTAGAAGCAAAAATGAAGAATGAAAGAGCATCATGTGTATAAGAGGCTTTGTATCAAAGCATAATTTAGTAGAACTTTTCTGGGAGAGAAGGAGTTGACTGTGAAGTGTAATTCTTTTTCAAATTTTGGCTTCTTGTTGCCTAGTCCAGTTCTAGCAGTTGACATGGTAGCTTGATAGGTTATTCACAACGTTAAAAAGTTGACTGAGGTTCACAAATGAAAGCTAAAGACTGGATTTGGCTTGGGTTTTCTCTGTCCGTCCAAATAAGTTCTGAATTTTTAGGAAATAACAAAGTCCGTACAAAAATTATTCAAACAGAGAATAAAATTGCACAGAATTCCAGTAACAATGCATGAAATAACTTCAGTTCTATATTTTATATAGAAACTATTTTAAAGATAAATGGAGGAAAGGCAAAATACAAAAAAGTACTTGCAGCAACAATGAAGTGAGCACTAAGGCTTGAAGAATTAAAGGCAGGATAAAATCATGAGCTCATCAGCATAAATATATGTTAATATTAAGCCCCTCTTGGGCTATATTTCATTGAAAATGCATTTATTCCCTCTCTTCTTTCCAACCAGACATTCTCCAATAAAAATAATATTACACGAAATTTCAAAACTTTTCCTTCATTTTCAACCACACATTCTTCAAAAAATCACTATTCCAAAAATATTTTTCCCCAACATTTGATTTTAATGGAGCCCAAACAAGGGCTAAGCAACAAAACTTGTCAAAAGATTGTGAAGGGAAATGAGAAATAATGAAGTGTGTCAACTCATTGATGGGCATGACATTCTGCAATAACAAAAATGCAACTGATCAACTTAGTATTTTCCTGTAGTTAGCAATAAACTTATACTACCCATTGTTCTTTTAGGGTTATCTGGAACAAACGAGAAATGCCATATAGGTCTCTTCTTTTCTGATTAGTCATAATTAAAACAGGAACATTGTCAGCAAATGCTGTTATGAAACATGGAATTATATTCCCCCTTCAATAGAAGATCACAACCTAGTTTTACATGATTTATATATTTAACTCAGTTAAAATAAGATTTTTTAAGTTTGTGTAAATATTTGTAACTGCATTAGTAGGATGCAGTAAATGTTCTCTTTGTTTCTTTTTCATTTCAACAGAAACAGGAAATATAGTTACTAACATTTCACTAGTTTTCCAACATGAAATAGAAAATCACAAACTATACAGGATTTTTCTAATTCTCTCGACAATTAGATGTCTCTATCCATGAAGTTGTATTAAAATGAATGTGGCTATTCCCATGGTAGTTTCGTGGAAACTTTGATGCGTTACCCTGTCAGACTTGTAGAAGATCAGTCTATACAAAATTTCTTCTTTTAAAATTAATAGTATTAGCATGCTTCACTTGAATACCATCGAAGAATTATTAGAAAAAGATGAAACGAATAAAATACGTATTCAAAATTTGATTTTCCAGAATATCACTAATCATTATAAATATAACCATAAATGTTTTACACCAAAAAGAAACATGTACCCCACCCCTACCACCTCCAGTGCGTTCATGAGTGTCCAGCGAAGGTTTATGGAAGAAATAATGCATAAATGATAAGGCGCGCTGAGCAGGAATGATGATACCTCATGAAAGTACATCAAAATGCAAGATCATTGACTATTACCATACAGGGATAATAACGCCATCCTCATCAACATCTATCTCTGGAGCCTGCACAAGATAACATGTTAAGCCAAATGAATATAAATTGATCAGGAACATAATCTTAAGCATAGATATCTACTGCGAATCTCCACAAGTTTAGATTAGAAAAGAGTACAATCCCAGAAGCTTTCATTTGTTTTAATCATTATTACAATGTTTCGTGTTACTTTAGCCTCGAAACTTTAAATCTATGTTATAATACTATAACTACAGAGAAGCTACTAAGTTGGCAGCTTTTGATATTGATAAAAACATGGTATTCAATAAGAAGATACTCAAAAATGCATAACAGATAAAATAAGCAAGTTGATTCAGAATTTTTCCTTGAAGGTTCTATAATTCTATTTGAAAGAGATGACTTACATCATTATAATGCAGAAGAAAAGTACCGTTCAGTAACACCTGGAAGCCATTCTTTAAAGTATGCTTCAGCGTCTAACTCTGCATGAGACAAGGCACCTAGAGGAGTAATAGTTATCTGCAAGAACAAATTAGTGATAATTAACTATGGGCATTCCTCTTCCATCACTGGCTATGAAAAATAGAACGCACTAAACGTACATATCCTTCTTGAAGGGAACAGTAATCTGTATCTCCGTCTTCCACGTGTGATCCCCTAAGCTAACGCATGACACGGCAATTTTCCAATTAAAAACTCAGAAAGAGGAAGATAATGCATAAATGCATAGCAAGTAGACTCGTGCAGAAACCACAATTTGATGCATAAGTTCTAAAGGAAAAAATGCAAACTTTAAAAATGTACAAGAAGCTAAAGAGAAGGAATCACACTTGTCTCTTGAACAGAAGATGGTCGTGTGGTGCACTTGAAGCATTGGACTCAAAATTTGATGATGAATTCATCTCCATAGTCATCGTTGATAACATCTTTCCTCCTTGAGCATCAGAAGTAACTTGCTTCCATCCCATTTTCACAATACTCTTACCCTGCTTAGTTTGCCGATAACCCTATTGGAATTAACAAAACAGCACTTAGCATCTTCTTCTGCATGATGATCACAATTAAAAATTAGAAAATTAACAAGAAGCATGTCATAAACTCAATATGTTCATTGTTAAGTCAAGGCAAAGGAAGTGAAAAGAAAATGGAGCGCAGTACTAAAAGATCCAAAGTGTTGAGAGACAAGCTGAAGAGAACAATCTACAAATAGAAACACCAATTTTCCACTGTTTGGATCAATGGTGAGACAGATTGCAGGTGCAAGACACCAAATCTGCGACATCTTATCTTGATGAATTTTGAGTCAATTGTTGTGCCAAAGAAAACCAACAAATTACCTTATGACAGACAACATTTGTTGGCACATCTATATTCAGAAAACAGTTTTGAGGATAAGTTTTTTTCTTGATTTCAACCATTATTGAGCTGATTATTGGTAAGCAAGCCTCTGCAGCCAGTATGAAGTCATTGACATTACTCCTCCCTCCAGCCCTGGCAGTTAGCAATGCAAGTAAGTCATACATTTTAAGTTGTCTAGCAATCCCATCCTAGCACAATGCATCAGATGAAAAGTCTTACAGTTGTTTTTAGATCAACCAGTAAATTACATATTAATCTAATTTAGAAGTACACGCATAAATGTCACCCTCTTATTATATTTGTATCGTCAACTCATTTACCTATCATAAATGATTTTGATGGTAATTACAAAGCTAGGCAGTGCTATTAGCCCACCTAAGGAGGAACAGACGTGGTCTGTTTCATCCTTTCAGTGCCAATCTCATAAATCAACAATAGTCTGCATATCTTATAGAAAACACAACTTTCGCAGCTTCGATTTGGAACTTCAAATACTTTTCTGAATCATCAGTCAATTCATGGTTGCTGATGGCTCTGTAATATGAACCTGACTATTTCTGCTTTTTCCATAGGCTGAGATTAAGTAGAGAAACTCTTGGATTCAACAGCCTGGACTATCCGCCAAAGATTCTTGTCATTTGAGCTAAAACTATGTTCCAAAATGAATTTACATTTTCCATTTATTCGTGATTATTCTTTCTAAATGAAGTATCAAATTAAGAAACCATAATTAAAAAATTTTAAGCCCCTGTTTGGCCCCATTATTTGAGTTTATGATGGGAGGAATAGTGTCTTTTTTGAAAAATGGATCGTTGTAAAAGAATGAAAAGTTTTCGATTTGTGTGTAACATTATTTTATTGAAGATTGTATGGTTGAAAATAGGAGAGAGAGAAATTCAAATTAAATTGAAGAGTTTCAAAGAGGGTCAAACGGGGTATAAGACATTAATTAGACCAGCTATATTTTATTATATTAAATGTTTGGGCCATTAAAAGGAATGCTTGTAACATGCACAGAACAGAAAGGAAGATGTTAACATGGAATTGCTACCATTCTAGAACAGAACATTTAGAAATAGAAAACGAGGATATAAGCCAATTAGTGGATGCTGTACTAGTTAAGGATAAATTAAGGGAATTACATATTAGGCTGTAGGGCATATCTTGAATACATCTAAAGAAACTCCCACCTACAAGGGCTATGCGATTCTCATAGATGGGGAGAAGTAGGTCAAATGACCTTCTCTGAGGTGGTTGCAAAAAGATCGAATTTTTGCATCTAGATCAAAAGGAATGGTGAAAATTACCTAAGTCCACTGAAAATATGGTTTTGCCAGTTGACGCATAGTTAAAGGTGTTGGTTAGCTACTATCAAGGGTGTTGTATAGACCCCCTGATTTGATTAAACAACATATCATTATCTGAAAAAATTGCTAATATTGATTCTTTGATAATCAAAATGAATTGATTCATTCAGGCCCTTTCGCCTACAATTATTGTGTGAAAATGAGTTTTAGAATAGTGAATTTTTGGAGAATGTGTGGTTAAAAATTAGAAAAATATTTGGATTTACGCACAAAATATTTTATTGTGAGAATGTGTGGTTGAAAATGAGTTTGAGGAAAATTGAAATAATGGTAGACAAACAGGGCTCAATAACTTAAGTATAATTCAGTTATCATATTTATTCCACATGATATAAGGAGGGTAGATAAAAACTTTACTAATCAATTGAGTATGATTTAAGAGTCATATGCATAATGCCTTATTAGAAAACAGCCAAAGGTGGTCAATCTAAAGTTATAGAAAGAAAAATGAGACAGAAGTATTTGCTTTAAATTTATAGAGAGATAACTAACCTTGTATAAAGTACTATGAAATTCTCTTTCTGTGATTTTACCTCCTAAGAAACTACCCACAAACTCTATTTAGATAGGATTTCAAAGACACTCCATCTAGATGCGTAAATGCAAACACATGAATGTATATTCAAGAATATGAAAGCAATGAACATGTAAGTATGACAGTACGTGAACTGTTACTAGGACCTAATGGAAACATGAATGTAAATTTATGCGAATAATTCTCTACCAGTCATATGATATAGATACAGATGGTACACCATTGAAAAAAGCTTCCCGAGCACCAGCTACCGTCCCTGAATATAACCTGCATTTGCAATAAGATGTCCAGTCAAAAGATGCACAAGCATAGATAAGTGACTGTGATCAATAAATGAATACTAATCTGTTTGCAAATAAGCTTGTGGTATTATTATTATATATATCCACAAATATGAAGCCAAATCTAGTTTAGGTTACTAACACATGATAACCACAGTTACTACCCATATTGATGCCACTAATCACCTGCAAATCAGAGATAAAGAAGTACGTAAGCAATTCTTTCATACTAAAAGCACATGAAAAGATCTGTAATGAGAGCACTATATTGTTTGAAAGATTTAAGTGAAAAAGGATAGTAGCCAATAAATTGTTGCTCTTTAAACTGCACAAACAAATTGGCAAAGAAATTGCTATTCAACGTCCACCTCTGTTTCGGCCCATATAAGGATGACGAAAAGTATATACTATATAGTATAAACATCTCCATTATGAATATTTACCAGATCAGGTATTGAAGGGAAGAGCGCTTTTGAAATTCCCAAAGATGTACAGTCAGCGGGAGTTCCTGCAAAAAAATATGGGAAGATAAGTAAAGCAGAAACAAATGCAAAAAGCATGGCAGGAAATGGATAGCAGATTAGAAAAGAATGTGGCAAAGGACATTTGTATCCAGCATTAGCATTATCTGATTAACATTATGTTGGAAACAGTATCATCCCTCCACCTCAAATGATAGGGATAAACTTGATAAAAATGTGACAGGAAAGAATATTCTTATACATAATCATGAGTGAAGTATAGAATCACAGTAAGTAAAATTTGCTGTCTTAACAAGTCAGTCATGCCCTTATTAGTTACTATTGAGCCATGAAGCGAGAAGGCAACATATGGAACTATCATGCACTATAATGTCAACCAAATAAAGCAAAGAATGCTTTTACATCTAAAAGAAATAAAAGGAATAGAAGACCTATGAAAAGGTCTTGCAAAAGAAATACTTTACATCTTTTCTAAGCACTGCTCTACCAAAAGAAGAGAATATTTGGAGTTTCTCTACATCAAGATGGCTTAGAAAAAATCATACAAGGCGTTTTCTTTATTTTTTTGAAGATTTTCTATCATCAATAAGATCCAAGAGATGCAAATGACAGAAGCTGACCAGAAACTGCAAATGAAGTAGCTCCACTGATTTCCACCGGCTTAACTGAAACAGCACTTCGCCAAGTAATGCTATGACTAACAGCCGACTTTTCGCTGGGAATCATAAAACAGAAAAAGCGTAAAGAAATAACATGAGACATCATTCAAGGCATTCTCCAAAATAAAATATGGATGTCGAAATTTGAGATCACTTCTTATAAACCAGACTATCATCCAAAGAAATAAGCACAATGCTTTTGCACATATAACTATAGTATTTCAAAAATATAGCTTTTAGGCCGTAGAAACATGGATAAACACAAGAGAACTCTAAGGCTCCCAATAAAGCAACTAAGCTACATAATTTACATTTAACCAGAAATTTAAATTATTTAATGCAAAATTAGACAGATGAATATAAAAATACACTAGACTCATATTGTTAATGTACATATACATACGAGTCAGGGGCACAGACAAGGATATTAAAGCGGTTAAAGGAGAGGAGGACATGGACGAGAGCACGCAACCCTGGGGCATCGATTCCATCGTCGTTAGTCACCATCACCGTCGGCCGATCGCCGGAGAGCATTACGCCATTTTTCTCCATTTTCCTTTCAAAATGAAACTTCTTTTTTGCTGAAAAGCAATTCAAGCCCCTTTTACAATTTATGTTAATACATTTTACACGTTGTATCAAATCAAAAGCTACTAAAAATGTTATTTTCAATTTCCACAGATTCAATAAAAATCGCAACAAGTAGCATAAGGTGTCGTGGTGTAGTTGGTTATCACGTCAGTCTAACACACTGAAGGTCTCCGGTTCGAGTCCGGGCGACGCCATTTTTTCCTGCTTATTTTTTAAAATGAAATTTCCAGATTAAGAAATTATTTTATTTTACTAAGCAATTATTACCATTTTTACTTTCTCGAACTATTTGAGGATGATCATTTTTGTAGCATTTAAAAGTAGTTTCGGGGTTCAAAAAAACGTATTTTCATCGTAATTAAAAGTTAATGAAATTTCTCTAACCAAAAATTTCAGAAAATATTGAAAATTAAGAATACATTAAAGTGTTACAATTCTGATTTAAATTTTACAACTTGACATACAAACACGTGAAATTTCAATTAAAAAATGAACGAGAAACGGTTTGTATATATCATTCTGCTTAGGGTACAAAAAATTATATTATGTCTGCATTCTATACATATTTCGTTTTTAACAGTACCTTCTAATTTTTGTTAATAATTTATTAGATGATTGGTTCACTTCTAAGGACCTGTTTGGTATCTTCTCTGTCTCTCATTCCCCCTCTTCACTTCTCTTTGACAGTGACATTGGTGTCTTTTAAATAATGAATTACCATTGCTTTTATGTGTCAATTTTGGAGCTGGGCGAGGGAAAATTTCTGCTGCATCTATCAGGTAAAACGATTCGTGAGTTTCACAACAACAAAAAATCAATTTTCAAGGCATTTTCCGGAACTATTGATTTTAAATTGCTTCGGGAATAATTGATATTGCATTCCTTTCCAACGCTGCTTTTGGAGTTGATTAGTCAACTCGATAAAGTTTTTCCTATACATGGCTTAGTTTCTGTTTTGACTACTTGGGGCTGGCATAACTTCAATCTTTTGTTGTGTTCCTATTGTTAACCAGCCTTTCCTAGTTCTTGAAAATGTGTTAGGAGTATGATTCAAATATGAGTCTTTTAAAGAAACGTATTTGACTTAGACTAAGATAATATTAATTTAGGGCTTCAAGGAAATTAAGTTGAATAAGGAAACAAAATCTTATTGAAATTGAATCTCCTAATTGTAGTATATTTTAATGCGTTTTAGGATTCTTCTAGTGTTGACCCATAAATACAAGGATCCTCTAATCAATTTGTAGAGATTGACATAGAAACAGTATTGCTAGTATGTCTTGTATTCTCCATATTGTTGATTCAATAAATATCGTTCCTCTACGTTAATCATTTTGTTCCTCTTTACAATTTAAACTTTGTTTCGTGGTGTGATCTTATTTACTTCAATATTGTCATATAATCTCGTTCCTTAAAATTCGATTTGGAATCAACGTGTATTATTGGAGCTTTCGTCCCCCAACAAGTGGTATTAGAGCTAGACTGTTGATTTTCTGTGAATTGATTGAGATTTTTTCCGAGATGGTTGGGTTGAAGTATGATATACCGCAATTAGATCGCAATACAAAGTTCTCGTTGTGATAAGTAAAGATGAGAGTTATTCTGACACAATTGGATTTGGACAATGCGTTGTTAGGTTTTGAGAAAATGCCAGCTGATTAGACAATGGAGGAGAAACAACGGAAGGATCGAAAGGTTGTGTCGTTGATTTATCTTCATCTATCTAACAACATTCCGTAGGATGTCTTGAAGGAGAAATGGCGACTGTTTTGTGGTTGAGGTTGGAGCAACTGTGTATGACTAAGAGTCTTAAAAGTAAACTGGCTTTTAAGCAGAAGCCGTATTCATATCGCACGGTAGAAGGATAGTCGTTGGAAGACCATGCTGCCGTGCTCAAGGAAATAGTTGAATATCTGGAAACGTTGGAGGTTAAGTATGATGAAGAGGACCTTGCTTTGATCATGTTGTGTTCGCTGTCTGAGACTTATGCGTCGTTTCGAGATACTATCTTGTATAGTCGAGATACTTTGACTATAGAAGATATCTAGATGCTTTGCACTCAAAGGNGCAAAAAAGTGATATTGACCGTAGTATTTGATGTGGAGTCTAAGCTTGACGAGGAGTGGATTCTTGATTCAGCATATTCATACTATATGTGTTTCAGTATGAATTTATTTCAGACATATGAGACTGTTCAGCAAGGTGGAGTTGTAATGAAAAACAATCAATCTCGTTGTATTGCTGGGATCAATCAAGTCAGATTGAAGCTGCGGGATAAAACATTTAGAACAATTGATCATGTTCAACATATTCCTGACCTGAAAAGGAATCCCATTTCTCTGAGTATTTTGGATGTAAAAGGGTATAAATTCTCTGGAGAAGGTGGAGTCTTGAATGTCCGAAAGGGAGTCCGAGTTATACTTGAGGGATGGAGAAGATCCCAATTGTCCATTTTGCAGGGGATTGTAGCACCGGTTAGGAGACATTTGGACAAGTTTAGTATCGTGGTGGAAGTTCAATTTGGTACAGTACCTCTTGTGTTGGGCTTTAAGTCAATTCAGAACACTGCTAAGGAGAGCATCGGTGATTCCACTTTACCACTAATTTTCAGCGGGTACACTGTGATCAATTACCGGGATAGGACTCAACGAGCATAGGTATGATGGTGTTAGTAATGTTTGGAATGCTTTTAGGGATGTTGAAGGCGACAGTTTTAGCAAGGACCTTCTGATTAAGCATCTGTTTGGTTTTTGCTACAGGGTGTGCTTCGACTCTGTGTGATCAACATTAATTCCTTGGTGGAATTGGGAGCCCTGGGGATTGGGTTTAGGTATTGATTGTGGAAGCCGGGTAGAGGACAAGTGTTTGGTCTATTTGGAGTGGTTACAGTGTTGAGGAGATTCGGCCAGTTAATTTTGATGCAAATAGATTTGAAATCTAGGAGTTTTGTTCGTCATGTTGTCCCTTCTGCTCCTTCATCTCATCTTTCAGTGGATAGGTTGGTATGTTCGCCCCTACCAGCTCCTTGGTAGAGCTTATTTATGATTTCGTGCCGAACCTGGTAAACGAACAAATAGGTGGTACCTGAACGCTTACGCTTACTGCTCTTCTCAAGTTCACCTCTTTTCTTGGCTGCCCTGAGGCGTTGCACTGAAATTTGAGTTAAGGTGGAGATTGTTAGAAGTATAACTCGAATAGGAGTATTTTGAAGAGGCGTATTCGACTTGGACTAAGAAAATATTAACTTAGGGCTTCAAGGAAATTAAATTGAATGATGAAACAAAATCCTGTTAAAAATCCTGTTAAAATTAAGTCTCCTAATTGTAATATATTTTCTTGCCTTTTTGAATCTTCAGGGGTTGGCTTATAAATACAAGGCCCATCTGGTCAATTCGTAGAGAGTAACATAGAAGCAGTATTGCTAGTCTGTTATGTATTCTCCATATTGTTGATTCAATAAACACCGTCCCTCTGTTTTAATCCTTTTGTTCCTCTTTACAATTTAAACCTTATTTCATTGTGTGATCTTGTTTATTTATTGTCATATAATCTCATTCCTTAAAATCCGATTTGCAATCAACGTGTGTTATTGGAGTTTCCGCGCCCAACGGAATGATTTTGACATTGACTGGAGAAGGCCATAGGGGATGGAAAGTGAGTTGAGACGACATGTTAGAGCCAGAGTAGAATAGTAGCCTAGTGGTTTTAGGCAACAAATTTTGTCAATTTTCACCTGTGAACACTTTGTGTAGCTTTCCATAATGTACATATTTTCATTATTTTCTCCGATTTTTGCTGAGAGAATTTAATTACAAATTAATCACATTTTTTAGGGAATGAGAAAATGATGTCCTCCCTCCCTCGCCCAAACATGACTTTACCACAACCTGGTTTAGAACCTACATTTTTCCATATCATCTTGACTCGTTTTCTATGTCAAACATGCCTATAACTAAAAGTGAGTTTGGCTCGTTTCTGCATGAAAAACTATATTACTCGTGTAATTCCGACACAGTTTACTAGAACGAAATACCCCATTGCATCAAATTCACTTTTGTTTTTTGTTTGTTTTGTCTTCATTGGTAACTAATGTTAGTATGGCTGTGGGTTCTAACAATCAACTACAATATTTTGTCTAAGAATATTGACTGTTCATTATTTATACGAAGTCGTGTTGATTTTAGGAATGGCAATAGGACGGATATGAGACAGGTTGACCATTCTCACTCACTTCCCATCGAGTATTTTCATTACCTTATCTTGTCCCCATACCCGATTAAAGCAGGATAATGGCGGGTTCCTGCTCCATTTATCGCCCCGTTTATTTATTTATTTAATTTTTTGCTTTTATTTTTTTATATCCTTGGTTAGTAAATATTATTACTTTTTTTAAAAAATTTATTAAGAACTACTCGTGTTCTTTCTAAAAATGATGATTACTTTTGTCTGATAAAAAACTTAAACTTGAAATTAACTTTAAACGAGGCAACAACTATGTTTCTCGTACCCGCTTCGAGAAAATGACCCCCTCCCTATTTATTCGGTTAGGTAGGTGATCCCCAACTCATTTGGGACGAGGCCCGTGGAAATCAATTTGAACAAAATTTTTGCCATCCCTAGTTGATTTAATCAATATACCTAGTTATTAAAGGAAAAAAAAACGACTTTGAAAAAAGTAATGAAGCAATTTAGAAATTTTATCTCAAGATTATTAGATATAATATCTACGTAGAGTNAACTTACAGTAATCAAATGGAAGTAAACAGACTTTCCCTCCAGTATGCTTTTATAGATGCTTTGCATGTACTTAATCAATCTTCTGAATCAAGTAAAGGTTTAAAATATTTTTGAAATCATTTGGGTCCACAACTGCTTCCGCAAAAGGTTTTCCAATTAAGGTTGCATTTCTCACTCTAGAGAACTAACCGTGTTTCCACAGACGCTATCTCACAATATCTAGAGTCTCTGTTTTCACCTCTATCAAAACTCTTTTCAGAATCAAGTTCTTACT